GGGATGATCCCGGCTTTCCCTGCCCTCCCTCGTTTGAAGGCTCCATTAATCACTCTCTGCTAATTAAACACCATTAATCACTCTGTGCTAATTTAATTAAACACCCGGGCAGGGAGGAGCCCCTGGATGGTGCCAGCCTGGCAGAAATGCAGGAATTTTCCTTCTCCCCCGGGGGATTTTCCCACCTGTCCCAGGGGGGTCATTCCCACTTTTCCCAGGGTTTCCCTGTGGATCTGCAGGGATTGGGATCCTGGAGTGCTCGGGCAGGATGAATCCCACAAATCCAGCCCTTCCCCAAAATCCTGCCAGGAAAGACCCCAAACCTTCCTCCTGGGATGGTTTATCCCCAAATTCCTGCCAGGAATGGTCAGGAATGATCCCAAACGTTCCTCCTGGAATGGTTTTTCCCCGAAATCCTGGATCCCAAACATTCCTCCTGGGATGGTTTATCCCCAAAATCCTGCCAGGAATGACCCCAAACATTCCTCCTGGGATGCTTTATCCCTGAAATCCTGCCAGGAATGGTCAGGAATGATCCCAAACGTTCCTCCTGGGATGGTTTATCCCCAAAATCCTGGATCCCAAATGTTCCTCCTGGGATGGTTTATCCCCGAAATCCTGCCAGGAATGATCCCAAACGTTCCTCCTGGGATGGTTTGTCCCCGAAATCCTGGATCCCAAACGTTCCTCCTGGGATGGTTTATCCCCAGATTCCTGCCAGGAATGGTCAGGAATGATCCCAAACGTTCCTCCTGGAATGGTTTATCCCCAAAATCCTGGATCCCAAACATTCCTCCTGGGATAGTTTTTCCCCGAAATCCTGGATCCCAAACATTCCTCCTGGGATGGTTTTTCCCCGAAATCCCTGGATTTGCTGGCTCAGGATGGGTTTTCCCTGGTTCCCCCTCAGTGCTACCGGGACCTGGCGCTGGTGAGCCGGGACGGGATGAACATCGTCCTCAACAAGATCAACCACATCCTCATGGAGAAGTACCTGAAGCTGCAGGACACCTGCAGGAGCCAGGTCGGGATCCCAGGAATCTCCTGTCCCACCTGGAATTTCCTGTCCCATCCCAAATATTCTGGAACCCCCTGTCCCACCTGGAACCCCCTGTCCCACCTGGAATCCCCTGTCCCACCTGGAATCTCCTGTCCCACCTGGAATCCCCTGTCCCACCTGGAATCCCCTGTCCCATCCCAAATATTCTGGAACCCCCTGTCCCACCTGGAACCCCCTGTCCCACCTGGAACCCCCTGTCCCACCTGGAATCTCCTGTCCCACCTGGAATCTCCTGTCCCAACTGGAATCCCCTGTCCCACCTGGAATCCCCTGTCCCATCCCAAATATTCTGGAATCTCCTGTCCCACCTGGAATTTCCTGTCCCATCCCAAATATTCTGGAATCTCCTGTCCCACCTGGAATCTCCTGTCCCACCTGGAATCCCCTGTCCCACCTGGAACCCCCTGTCCCACCTGGAATCCCCTGTCCCACCTGGAACCCCCTGTCCTACCTGGAATCCCCTGTCCCACCTGGAATCCCCCCCCCCACCTGGAACCTCCTGTCCCACCTGGAACCCCCTGTCCCACCTGGAACCCCCTGTCCCACCTGGAACCTCCTGTCCCACCTGGAACCCCNTCCTGTCCCATCCCAAATATTCTGGAACCCCCTGTCCCACCTGGAACCCCCTGTCCCACCTGGAATCTCCTGTCCCACCTGGAATCTCCTGTCCCATCCCAAATATTCTGGAACCCCCTGTTCCACCTGGAATCTTCTGTCCCAGCATGGAGGGCGGGAGGGAGGAGCGGGAATGGGGCCATGGGTGGCTCTGATCCCAAAAATCCCAAAATCCCTGCTCCCAAAAATCCCAAACCCGTGCTCCCAAAAATCCCAAACCCGTGCTCCCAAAATCTCAAAATCCCTGCTCCCAAAATCCCAAAATCCCTGCTCCCAAAATCCCAAAATCCCTGCTCCCAAAATCCCAAAATCCCTGCTCCTGAAATCCCTGCTCCCAAAATCTCTGGTCCCAAACCCCCTGATCCCAAAATCCCAAACCCTGCTCCCAGAATCCCAATCCCTGCTCCCAAAATCCCCATCCCTGCTCCCAAAATCTCTGATCCCAAAATGCCTGGTCCCAAACCCCCTGCTCCCAAAATCCCAATCCTGCTCCCAAAATCCCAATCC